ATGATAACACGGGTGAAAAGTGGCAGAGCTTGGATTATTTGAAACACAAGATTTCCTCACAAAACTATTGATGGCAAACCAGTTGTTGAAATCAGATTGAGTTAGCCTGAATCCCAGCTCACACCAACATACCATCTTTGTCAAACATTTAACAAAATACCAATTGTTTTAGTCAGCTTTTTTGCTGCTATAACTAAAGGATCTGACCAGTAAAATTTTAGCAAAGGAAATGTTTATTTGGGAGCTCACAGTTTCAGAGGTCTCCGTCCATGGACAATAGTTCCCTTCCTTGGGACTCCAGTTGAGGCTGAACATCATGACAGATTGTGTAACAGAGGGATGCAACTCATGTGACGATCAGAAAGCAGAGAGAGACTCGCGAGATACAAATATATACCCCAAAGCCACACCCCCGATGCTCCACCTCCTCCAGCCACAACCCACCTGCCTCCAGTTACCACTCAGTAAATCTCATCCAGGATTAATTCACTGATTAGTTTAAAGCTCTCACAACCCAATCATTTCCCCTCGGAACCCTCTCACATTCTGTTACACATGAGCTTCTGGGGGATACTTCACATACAAACCATAACACCAATGCTTAGTATATTTTCAACAGAATCTAAATTAAGATAATGGGCTATTTACAATAGCGGAATACCACCTTTACTGTGTTCTTTTAGTGATTCCCCATTTTATGTAGAGTAACAAAATTTAAAGCTAATTAAAGAAAGACTATATATCTAAATCCATAACATTGTGTTGCAGAAATTAAAGTTAGTATTCCAATTAAATAAGGAACAAATTGACCTAATATGGTGTACAAATTCTTAACTCAGAGTTTTACTGACCAAGTATATGCCACACCCCAAAGAGAAAGCCAAAAAAATCCTAAATTTGTTAACTATTTTTAAAACTAGTCTCTAAGCTAGTTGCCAGACTACAGCAGCATATTTTAAGGTCATAGATTTATTAATCACAGATCATCAAGTTTCTCCATCTGGAGTCATTTGAACCCACCTAACTACAGCAAGCTTCAAAACAAAAGTTTACAGTGTTCAAATGTTTACAATAGTATTTATTCTCAGTGATCTGGTTACTTCTTTCCAAAATCACAAAGCCATTCCTTTAAAGCATGTTTCTTATGGAAAACAATTGAGGAAGGAAGGGACACCCCAAAGAGAAGCAGTATGTGTTGAAAGGTCATAGAAACATGACAAACACGGGGAAAACGTGGTGAAATAAAGTGGGATACTGGAAGTAAGAGAGGGGAATATTTGAGTTAAGAATTTTAAAGTTTTTAACATTCTAAACTGACACCAAATCCAAAGCATAATCATTGGAGGCACTGACTGGAGTCTACAGTGCTGAAAGTTAGTGAGTTATTAGCTAGAGTTCAAAAGTGTTATATGCATGGACAGGGAGCTTAGGAGATCATTGTGGGGGAAAAAGAGGGTGAATCAGTTGCCAGAATCTTTTCTCATAATCCTGTGCACTCAGAAAGATTGCTTCTTCTGCCTGGAATATCTTTACAACCACCCATTTGCCTGTCAAACTCCTATGCCTTTTTCAAGTACCTGCTTAGTTCTCAACCACTATATGAATCATTCCTATGAATCATGTCAAATGAATTCTTCCAAGCTCTGATCTCCTAGCATTTTATTCACACTTTGATTATAGCATTTAACAGATTGAATTCTATCTATATTTTCACAAATTTATTTCTCTATTACAATGTGAACTTCTCAATAGTATGCACCAGATTGCATTCTCTATAGCAAGCTCCGTAGCATCCATAGTGGCCATCACATTCACAATACTATGTTTACCAAAATGAAAAATGAATAAATAAGCCACCAAGGGAACACACAGTAAGATATCATTAGTTCTTATGCAAGAAGGCAGAGAAAATGACACATAGAGGAATCAGTTGAACCAGACCTTTAAGAGATGTAAAGCTTTCACTAGTCACAAAATTAGAAAAGTTATCCAGGCTGGGCAAACCACAGAAGCAGAAGCGAAAGCTTGTGAAACATCTGAAAGTATTCAGAAATGGTATGAATCCATCATTCATTACTATATTCAGATAACAGATATTCTATCTAACCCAAGCATTATACCAAGTATATGAAATAAAAACAAACACACAGACGAGGAGACATGGTTTTAACAAGAGAAAACAAAAATGAAAAGAGATTATTATTCAACCTGGAAGTATTATTGCAGAAGCATGAACCAAGGTGTGGGGTAGCACGGAGAACAGGCAGGGAAACGAGACAAGCATGAAGGCTTGAGTTACTAACAGTGTGGTACTTTACTGAGTATCTCAGGAGAAGACCGAAGAAATGGGCCTTCTAGAAAAATAAGGAATGGCTTGCACAAATGTTTTTACAACTATGTCTGGGGGGTCTTTTCTTCCCCCAAGGCAAGAAATACAAACGTCATTTTGTAGATAATAGCAGGCCAATAAAACTTTCTAAACTAGAAAGAGAGAGGATCAGTTTGTTTTGAGGAGAAAATGCTGACGATTCTATGGAAGCTGTACCAGAATTGAAAGGAGCTGGAGGTAGAAACCAGACAGGAGGTTTGCTGTTCAAGCAAGATCTGAAGAGAAAGTAGAAATGGCTGGAAGAAAAAAGAGATTTGATGTGGTAAACAAAGGACCAATACCTCAAAAATCATGTCTGGAGTTTTAAATTAATTTAACAAATAATTAAATATATCAAAGAGATAAGACCATTTTATTTAACTAACAGACACTTCAAGTAGATGTGGTGTGTGTGTGTGTGTGTGTGTGTGTGTGTGTGTCAATTAGAAATGCAAGCGGCCAAAGGCAGAGAGATCTGTAGGGAACTTACTACAAAGGTGGCCCAGGTCAAAGAGGATAAGGACTTAGACTATAATAATAGAAGAGGAAATAGAAAAAAAAATAAAGGAATAATGGTAGAGTAAGGAAGTAAATAAGATAAACTAAGGAAAGTAAGTATGGTAAAGTAAGGAAAATGACTCGTTCATTTACTTGCTTATTTATTTACTTACAAATCATTTTCAAATATCATAGACCAAGTACTTTGCTTGGTACTGAGAACTCAGGAGGTAACAAAATAAACTTCCACGCCCACAGCATATGGCATGTAGTGTTAAGAGGGAGAATTTAAGCAAGTAAACCTAAGAGGAGATACTACTTTACAAAAGTAGAGGGTGCTACGGAAATACATCCCCACAGCATCCAAAGTGGCTTATAATGTGGTGATGACTAGGCTGAAATCTGAAGGAAAAAGAGTGGGTACTAGGCAGGCTGAATCACTGGAAAGGGTATTGGGAGCAAGAGGAACAGCATTTGGGTGGGGGGATTATCACAGTGAATGACAGAACTTTAAGCTGAGCAAAGGTAATGAAATGGAGAATGCGAATGGAATCTCTGTATTCAAGAAGCTTGGCTGTCAAAAAAGATGGATTATCAGGAGATGGATATGGAAGCAAAAGCAAGATTTTGTTTTCTACTTCTTCTTGAATGATAATTCATGTATAAGAAAATACACAGGTTTTAAGTGTATATTTAATATAGTTTTGAAAGATGACACACTCTTATAATCACCGTCTCATCAAGGTATGAAACATTTTTATCACCCCACATAATTTCTTTATGACTCATTCCAAGTCCATCTCCCAAGGAAACCACTGTTCTAATTTTCATCACTATAGCTTATGTTTGCTTATGCTAGAATTATGTGAATGGAAGTACTATTGTATAGTCTCTTTTCTATTTAGATTTTTCATTTAACATATTCTTGAGATTTGTCCATTTCTGATCTGAACAGTAGTTGGTCACTTTTTATTGCTGGGTAGTAGATGTTGCTTGACTTACAGTGGGATTGTCTTCAGATAATTCCATCATAAATTGAAAATAGTGTTAAGTAAAGAAAATGCATTTAGCACAACTCACCTACTGAACATTATATCTCAGCAATACAGTACCCTGTGGAGTGTGGGTTGTTTCCCTTCATGATCAAGTGGCGGCCTTGGAGCTGCCACTCAATGTCACTGCCCAGCTTTGGCAGAGGATCCTAAGGGAGACTGCCAGCCTGGGAAATGTTCAGCACTCAAAGTTCAATGTCTGGTTTCTCCTGAAAGAGTATCACTATCACACCATCATAAAGTCAAAAAATTAAGTTGAACCATCATTAATTTGAGGACTGTCTGAATTTCATTGTCTGAGTATGTCCTACATTGTTTACCTAGATGAATATGTGTGTAATCATTCTTGAACAAGTCTTTCTGTGGATAGACATTTTCCTTTTTTCTAGGATTACTGGATCATAAGTTAAGAGTATATCTGATGTTCTAAAAAAAATCCCAAACTGTGTTTCAAAGTGATTGCATCATTTTGATTTTCCACCAATACTTTATCAATATTCCAGTTACTTCATATCCTTTCTAGTAGTTGATGCTTTTAGTCTTTTTGAATTGTAACTCTAGAGCTCTAACATTTTAGTTTGTACTTTCCTGGTGACTAATCAATTTTAAGTATTATTTCATGGATTTATTTGTTGTCCATATATTTTTTGAGGTGTTTGTTCACACGTTTTTGAATTTTAAAAGAGAAGTGATAAGAATATTTAGATCCATAAAGCCAAGAATCTGTTGTGAGGGAGAAGCTGGAAATAAAAAAAAATTCCCAGTGAGAAACAGCATATCCAACGTTTATGACTTTCATTACAAATATTGAATCAGTGACTTCTTTTCTAATTGGAGATTTATGAAGCTTCTGATAGTAAAACTTGAAAATACCCAGGAAATTACAGAGGAATATTCTATAGTGATTAAAAAAAAAAAAAAAACTCTTTTTCTACTATTGCCACAACACTTCCTGACTGAAGTTGTGTAAGATTTTGTGTGTTTTCAAAGGGCACTGTTATTCTATATTTGATAAAGTTCATTGCGGTCAAACACAAATCCAAACTATTGCAGATATCAAAGCCAGGAGCAGCCATGCATACCTGTAGTCCCATATTCAGGAGGATGAGGAAGGTGGATTTCAAGTCCGAGGTCAGCCTCTGTAATATAGTGAGACCTTGTTTTAAAACAAAATTTTAAAAATGGAGATATAGCTCAGTGGTAGAATGCCCCTGAATTTTATACCCAGGTACCACAAAATCAAAAACATAAAAAAACTCAGGTATTATATATATATTAAAACTGTATGAATGAGATTAGCCAATATTACACAATTAAAATCAAATTAAGTGACTTTTATATTAAATTTGTCTTTGGAAAACATACGCATATTAGTGAGACCCTGTCTCAAAATATAATTTAAAAATGGGGATGGGAATGTTGTTCAGCAGTAGAATGCCTGTGGGTTCCATTCCCAGTACTAAACACACATAAAAAGAACAAGGTTTACATACATGAAAATAGTATAAATGAGATTAGTTAATATTATATAACTAAAATCAAATCACGTGATGTTTTAGGTTAAAATTGTTTTTTTAAAAGTACACGATGAATACATATTTTGCTATGTACACATGCATATATATATGCATATATATTATATGTGTGTGCATATATGTATATTTATATACACATATATTTATATGCACACACAGATATATATAAATAATTGATGCTTACTAAGACTATACAAAATATTTACCAAAAGCTGACACAAGGATTACCTATATGCAAAGGTAAGGGAATTCATGCATAGAAATGGAAGGTGACCCTCATTGTTATGCAAAATTACATATAAGAGGATGTGAAGGGAAAGGGGAAAAAATATCAAGGGAGAGAAATGAATTACAGTAGAAGGGGTAGAGATAGAAGATGGGAGGGGAGGGGAGGGGATCGGGGATAGTAGAGGATAGGAAAGATAGCAGAATACAACAGTCACTAGTATGGCAATATGTAAAAACGTGGATGTGTAACCGATGTGATTCTGCAATCTGTATATGGGGTAAAAATGGGAGTTCATAACCCACTTGAATCAAATGTATGAAATATGATATGTCAAGAGCTTTGTAATGTTTTGAACACCAATAAATATTAAAAAAAAGGTAAGGGAATTCAAATGTTCTTCGATTTTATTGATGACACTTGTATTTTGCCATTTCAAAAATTAGCTGTTTTCTCATAAACACTTTGAATGGGTAGTATATTTTATGGAGAAATGAATGATATAATATTTTGAAGTTATTAATTCTATACATGATTTTAAAGACAATGTACTTTTATGTTCTATAATCCATAAATGATAGTAGTAAGATGAACAGAAGTAAAGGGTGTGTTTTAGTTACTTTCCTTGAAAGTGTTGATTTGCCTCAACTACTTGCCTACAACCCCATTGTAACATCAATGCTCATTTGTTAGTTGTGGTGTCATTTGAAGCTAACTGCAATGGACCACAGAAAAGTAAAGTTTCATAAGGACAAAGTTCGGCTGCTTTCTCATTCCTTCCTTCTGTTGCAAAGATTATTCCCCCAAATCAAATGAATAAAGAAGAGAATTGTAGTCTGCATTTTAGGATTGTTAAAGGTTTTTCTGTTTCTGACAGTTTGGCTTTCTTTTGTCATTTTCTCACTTAAATGTTGTAAACTCAGAAAGTGCTAAGCTAAGATTCTTTATGTAGTGTTACACATGCCATAAGACAATATTATTTTACCATGTCAAAGTTGTTTGCACCATTTGGAGCACATCTATCATCAAACCTCAATTAAATGGAGTCTTTCTATCTTCAACTAAAACAAACTGTTTACTTAGATTTTTCCAGTGTTTACTTCACAAGAGGTGGAAGACCCAAATAGCGCAGTAACATAGGTGTCTGGGGATCTACCAGGGGTCAAAAAATTTAACCCAAAGAAGGAGGCCTTCTTTTGGGGTTGCAACAAGAGACTTTCTTTTTCTTTTGCTAAGTAAATGGCAGTATTATAATGTTATTCATACCTCACTGGTGTCCTAACAATTCCTCTATTCAAACTGAAAAGGGATATATTCTCTTTGTTGCAAAGTATTAAATTTGTCCCTTGAGATTAGTGTGTAGGCAGTTTTAAAGGATGAAACAGGATTAGATAAGATTTCTTTTACTGAGAAAGAGTTCTGAAACAGTGCAGCCGAAAACCCTCTTGTATTACTTGTATTGAAAAAAATCCTTTGTTTTAACACTTCAAATCACAAGTCAAATTTATTATATTATTAGTTGACAAAATGTTTCTTTGTGGGGTTTTGTGAAAGGTAGGCGAGTTAGAAGTAGGAAAAAAATGACACTTGCCTTAATTGTATTTGGAATTTTGTATCTTTGAAATCTCTCTATGGCATTTATAATTTAAATATGTTTTAAGAGATGGTATAAATAGATTATAGCAATTGTAGTTATCTGCTTAAAGATTCAGAAGGTTTCTGTCTTTTTTGATGATATTTAAAATGGGTGAAAATTATGTTATATATCTACTGAACTCAGCCAACATTTGTTAAATTTAAAAGTGTCAAAATTATGTCCAGGGCAGTTATGGAAAATATGTCAGTGTTTCATTTGTGTTAGGCTTACATTTTCCAGTTAATAATGTTGTACACCATAAGAAGACATGAGCAGACATTATTGAGTATGAAATAGCAAGACGTTTTCTTCAGGAAGAAAATAATAGTCTGTAATAGTGTATTGCTTCTCTAGTTATGTAATTTGGATGTTATAGACCTTTCCTAATTATTAGGAAAGCTACTATAGGATTATATAATACTGTATTTTCACTGAATTTTGTTTTAATAGGAGAAGGCAGAAGCTGGGTAAGGCTTTCCAAGATATACAGTAGTTTCTTGCTTTGGACCTTTACATCATAGTACAATTCATGTTTTTACTGAGTGTTATTGACTACAGGGAAAATCTTTATAAAAAATAGATTTACAATGGGACACCCAATTTTTGTTATAAACTGCAAAAAAAAAAAAAAACCTTTATGTGTGAACATGGTGTTTTTTGCCATTTGTACAGATTTTAAAGCTTAAGAGAAAAATTTGAGAATATCAGAATTCTACTAACAAAACAAAAAAATCCCTTTGTATCCTGATGGCTCCTTGTCATCCCAAAACCAGGAAAGCTTCTACATACACTTTGCTTCTGCACATTGCCGCCAGGTTATCAATCTTCCCATGGCACAGCCCCTGCTTGTCATCCCATTTCACAAACTGTCTCTGGTTTCCCACTGTCTCCAGAACAGAATCCAGACTCTTTGACTTGATGTTCAAAGCCCTCCACAATCCTTGAAACCTCCCACCACCACTTTTCTGAGTTAATTGTATACCAGGCTCATTAACACCCCCTACCTAGACTCCCTCTACAAGGTATTCTTAGCAAGTCCCCATATGTATCCCAATGCTTTGTGACTTTCATTGCATTGCTCATTATTTCATTGCTCTTGCTCCTGCTATATCGCTTAAAGTTTGTGCTTTGCCTGTTTTACCTTTCACCTGCCGGTACTTTAGGAAAGTAAATATTTGCTGCTCTGCTTCTGATAGATACAATCGTGCTGGTCCACAACCTGAAGACATTCTGATGTAATACCCTTTTTTGCATGGAAAATTTTGAGTCATTTGTTTCTTTATTGGCAGGTCAATAAACTTACCTTTTTTGCAGATTTCCTCTTGTTCAATGGCTCCTGAATATTTTAGGGTTCAAAAACAGAAAAAAAAAAAGTAGTGATGCTTTACAGATATTATTGATGTTTTAGTCGGCTTTTCACTGCTGTGACCAAAAGACCTGACAAGAACCATTTAAAAGAAGAAAAGTTCTATTTGGTGGCTCACACTTTCAGAAGTCTCAGTCCACAGATGGCCTACTCCATTCCTCAGAGTAGGAGGGGAGGCAGAACATCATGGCAGAGTGTGGTGGAGAAAATTGGCTCAGACAGGACAGCAGGAAGCAGAGAGATATAAATTCCCCTCACCACTGACAAAATATAAATCCCAAAGGCAAGACCCCATTGACCCACTACTCCAGCCAAACCCTATCTGCCTATAGTTACCACCCAGTTAATCCATTTAAGTAGTTTAAATGCACTTAAGGTTAGGTTAAGGTTCTCAAAGACCCTCTTACATCTGAGCTTTCTTGCTTTGTCTCACATATGAGTTTTTGAGGGACATTCTCATGTTAAAATTATAATAATTGACATGGAAAAAAATTAAGTGTGCATTATTTATACAAAAGGAAAACAAATATCCATATGTTTGTAAACACTCAGGTATTGGACTACATATTTTTCTCTTTCATTCTGATGTCTGAGATCATGTTGTTGAGATTTAATGGTACTGTAAAAAAGAAATTTAGCTTCTATTGATTTATTACATTTTTATAAATATCTGCCACTTTTGCATACATTTTTAAATTTTTTTTAAAATAACATCTTGAATATTTTGTATTTAAGTTGGACTTTATTTCTGCAAAAAATGACTTTCTATAAGTAATTTGAAAACTTCAACACAAATAAGGACAACAGAAAGGAAACGGGGAAATGAATGAATATTAGATGTTATGAAAATGAGAAAGGAAATTTTAAATATATTAATATAGTTTTTGAAAAGTAATTGCTTTTTCCTACTTCCATGCCCACAGTATAGCAGTTGCTATGATTAGGAGAACTTGGGCATGGGGCTGGGTAGGTGGGATTTTTTTGGTTGTCATTGTTGATGATGCTGTTTTAGGTTGTTCTGTATTTACTTAAGGGATTTAAAGACTTGAGGAGCTTTAAGAGGCAAGGTTCTAGTGTATTGTCACTTTCAAAAATGACTTATTCTTGATAGTTTCCACCTCATTTTGCATTTGAAAAGAAAAAAAAAACTACTAATGTGCTAGGATAAGATACCTGTTTAACACTTCAGGCCTTTGACAAACAAACTTGCAGTGTCACCTGCTTCAGTCATTGGCCATGAGCCATAAAAAGTAACCTTACAGATGAGGAAATGTGTACCCAGAAGCCTTTGCCCAAGTTCACAGGGCCTATTTATGGGAAATCAAGACTCTGATCCAAGGAGGTTCCCTTTTTCTCTAATGTTTTTCTCTCAATCT